ATTTATGGTTATATTTAATGGTAGCTCACAATGGTCAATCGTGATTGGTTAATTAATTAATTGTGAACTAAAAACTGATTAATGGTGGGTTGTGAGCGCACGGTTTTGATGGTCGTGCTCATGACAATTAAGGACCGATTCGCGAGCTACTGTTGTGAAACATTAACCGTGCCAACCACAAGCCAGCATGGGCAACGGCTTTACCTTTTGTATAGCATAGTTCATTGCGGGGCATCAGACTGTGAAGCGGTGATAAGTTCGTACCTCGGGCTTTTGAGGGGGTGATTATGAATCAGGAATAGTGCACTGTTGTGAATTGCGTTATGCGGATGGTAATGTCACAGCTCCTTTCTGAGGTACCGTGGTGGTATTAAGGCGCATGGCAACGTGTTGTGGGGTTGTGTCTTGTGGGTACAGTGATACATCTCTAGCTAGAGTAAAACTATTCGAATAACCGTGTCCGCGGTTATGGGCGGGTCGAACAATGTTTTTCGTGATTAGTCTCACACTATTGAATAATAATGAATAATGTGATAATTAATTTGACTCCTAGATTGGAATGGCATATTCCTGGACTGGAGGTTTGATCTGTACGACTGGGGTTGGTTGTTCAGTTATGATTGGGCCTATGTAACGGGTATGTTGTATAGCGTTTATTTAATATTGCTTAATTATTACAATTGTTTTACTATATTCTCTAAAGTTTTTTAAATGTTGTTTATGCAAATGAGTTGTATTATGCCATCCTTCGTTATCCTGTGCACTTACATATTTGCTGTGTGGTGCGCGGAGTATTCCGTGTACCCACCTTGTAATATTCAATCATCAGAGGAGGATTTCTATAGTGAAGGTGATGCTCAGGATGATTAGGCTATGTTCTGGTCAAGCTGCTTGTGGAGTGGAGTCACCCTCGCTTTTATCTTTATTTTCCGCTCCTTAGGTTTTAATGTTTGAGAGGAACTATCTACCTCTGTAATTATTCAACGTTTTCGATTATTAATTAGATAAAGATTAGTACTCTATTATCAATTTGTTATTGTGTGCTTCGGTTGATTCCTGGACGAGGATTTTACACACATGTAAGCGTTTGGAATTTTGGATAGAAATTCCGGGCGTGAGAGTGGTGCACCGGCGTTGTGCTGAGGCATGGCTCTCCATCAGGGGCAACAGGTACTCCCATCCGATCAGATCAACCCCTCCATCCAGTTCTTTGTATGTAGAAAAGTTAATTTTTTTAGATAATGGAATAAATGTGGAAGAAGACCTCTCAAATGGCAAGCTAGTGTGGGGGAGTATATAAAAGCTGATCGGCTCATAGGTGCACCTATAATCCGCCCGGGACCCACATCACCTGATAGGTGCCGGTTCTCACCAAGAAGATAACACTGCACAGGGCCCCATATCACTCAAATAGGTGCCAGATCTTGGTGAGAACTGGCACCTATTGTTTTGCACCACACTAATCCACATAGGTGCCGGGTTTTGTTAGTGGCCTTGTTGGCGGATGGGTCATAGATAAAACTGTTGGGCAACTTTTTGTGACAAGTCGACAAGCACGATCGCAACACCTAAATGCCTTGCGGTGATATGGAGTCACCAACCACCTCGATCTAGCCAAAGGGCCAAATCAAGATGGGTTTTGCAAAAAGAAAAGCTAAACCGGCTAGCGGAGCCGATTTAGAGATCAAAATCAGCCTCTAGGCTAATTTAGATCGATATGAGGATAACTACCCATCTCGTGGGCAAAACGGAAGGTTTTCAGGACAAACCTACAAAGAGGTGTCGCACTCTCGCAGCGGCGGCGGATGGTTTACGGCGCAAACCGACAAAGATGGACTAAACTAGGGTAAAATAGAAAACATAGTAAAAGAACGATTCAAGTAGATTGTATTCGGGGGTTTTACAATGAATCGGCCTTGTCCCTTAAATAGGGGTTGGTCTTGCCCTCTACAAGCCCTTCTCCATGCCCAACTCGGGATAGAAACCAAATGAAACACGAAACATGTCTTCCCGAGCAAGGAAACCCGAGACCCGACAAAAACAGACTCGGACTCTAACCCTGACGGTCAGACCGCCCATATACCTGCGGTCTGACCGACCCTGTGAAGGAAACCCGGTACTTTCCAAACTTTGGCAATTTTCCCCTATTTCGTCCATAGGTGCCAAATTTGGGTGTAAATACATGCCCTCCTGCCTTTTTGGTGAACATACGTGAACCTAAAAGCATAGAACATATTATCTCAGGGCGATAATCCAATTACCGGCCATAGGACTTCCTAAGCATCTTGACAAATGCTCGGGAAGTATTTCTTCAAGTATTTCCCATTAATTGCTCTCTGAAAACACCGTCTTGAAGTGTCTTTATCTCCTTCAAAGTCTTCAAACGCTTGTCGATGACGTCTTCAAAATTGCTTCCCATCAAGGTCTTGTAATCTTTAACCGACAAGTCATCTTGCTTGAAATACCGAAGAGAGCCAAGATTTACCTCAACTGGCAAAACGGCAATTTCAACAATGTTTTATTACTCGACTCGGCTTATCCATTAGCCTAAGTGTAGTAAAGAGAAGAACTCAACAACTTAATATCATAAGATTCGGCAAAACTTCTCACTTCCTCCGTTCAAGTAATATTCTCGAGCGGCACGTCTTCGGCCCACTTAGTGAAGTAATCCATTGCAACTAGCACGAACCAATGCTCTTTTGATGATGAAGGATAAATTTGACCAATGAAATCCAAAGCCCAACCTCGGAACGGCCATAGTTTAATGATAGGATTCAACACAGCGGTAGGCGCTAATTGAACATTGCCGATCCATTAACAAGCTTTACTCCCTCATAGTATTTGAAACAATCATCAATTATTTTCAGCCAATGAAACCCCAATCTCCTAAGCAACCAATTTATCTTACAGGCCGATTGATGAATTCCACAAATCCCTTCATGTACTTCTCTCCTAGCAACTTTAGATTGATCATTATCTAAGTACTTCAACAATACTCCATCTATTTTTCGGCGATATAATATTTGAACACTTGCCGCTGAATATTCCGATCAACCTTAAGTGTAGGATCTTTCAAATATCTAATCAAAGGAATTCTCCAAGCTATTTCTAACTTATGGGCACAAATGTCCGAATTCAAAATTAATTCGGCCTTTTGATTAATTGTAACGTGCCCCCCAACTCTCTGCCCGGGATCGGTCAGACTGAACACGCAATGCCGGTCAGACCGCCCTGTCTACCCGGTCAGACTGGCCATGCAGAGCCGGTCAGACCGCCGGTACCACCGGTCAGACCGGCCGTGCAATGCCGATCAAACTGCCCCTAGTCTATGACTTTGCCAATTTCGTCCAAACTTTTAAAATCAAGCATCAGCCTTTAGTATATAATTTTTCTTTACATAATAGCCAAATGCATGGTGTATCAAATTATTGGACCAAAATTCCTACTCTCTAGACATATGAAAAACTATAACATCCAACTAACATGCCTAGATGAATACTAATTCAAATGGCTTTTGAAACAATAATCATCATGGCATCAAAACACTTATCCAATTGAAGTATGATCAATAATGAATCACCAAAGTCATATGCCTCACACACATGAATTCCAATAAACTACAAATGTAAGTAATCGGCTTGAGCATGTATGCAAAATATCAACAATGCCAATGTTTCTAAAGAAAACAACTTGTAACATCCTAAAAATTAGCAATTTTCTAATCTTACATCATGCTGATTCTTATGTTCTTAATAATTTTTTTAAACCTAGGAAAATATAATTAGAGAGACCTCCTAAAACTAACTTGCATAAAACCTCTTATTTTATTTAATCTCTTTTATGACTTTTATTTAAAACCTATCTTGAGGTATTTCTTGATTCGATTTCGATTTAAAACTTTCTTTCGCTAAAACTTCCTTTATTTAAATTTGGTTTGAAAACCCTTTTTACCTTTATGAATTATGGTCCAAGCAACCTTCCCATTTTGTGCTAGAACTTAAACCGAAGCAATTCCAATTTTATTGGAATTAATTGTTAAACCCATCCTTTTGATCTTAAACCTATCCTTCGATTCCAAGCATATCCTTAGTTCCCTTTCTAAATTTCAAATATCCAAATTCTTCCCTTTGATCTAGCCATCATTAATCTCTATGGCTTGATTTCCTATTCGGCACAAGAATAGCAATATTGCAAATATTGTAAATGATTGCTCTTGTGCTAAGAAGAATAGACTTTTATTTTATCCTCCTCTTCCAAATTGATTCCCTATTAGCCACAAATAATTCTTCAAATATTCCTGCTATCAAATCTAGGATTCAAACCCTTTTTATCTTTACCTCCAACCATTTTCCTCTGAATATATATATATATATATATATATATATATATATATATATATATTTACTATATATATATATATATATTTTTTGAGGAATTATATTGTTAATTCCCCTCTCATTTGAGTGCTTTGATATTTAGTCCATTATATTCCATCTCCAAAAACATTGCACTCAAATAAATTGGAAAATCCCTCCTTTGCCAAATTTCCTTCCAAAACTTCCTATTCAAATTATTTGCAGCCATCCAAACTTCTATAAAATTAGACTTCTTCCTTTTTGACATTGGGCCGAATTTCCCTTTTCCCTCCTTTCTTCCATGCGGCCCAAGTCGGTCCAGCCTCAGCTGAGCCGCCTCCTCTCTCCTCCCTTCCTTCTGTGGGCGCCGCCGTGCGCCATCGGAGCGCGTTCTCGCCGCCGCCACCTTGCCGTCGTCGCCAAGGAATCATCCATGACGTCAGTCGCCGAGCCGTGCTCCTCCTTCTCCGCCGCCAATTCCTCTGCGGCCGCCACGTGCACGCGCCGCCGTTGCCGACCAATCAGGAGACGAGGCCGGCGCCGTTTTCTTTTCCCCTACGCAGCCGTCGCCGTGCCTTCCTCGTCCTCTACCGGCGAACCGACCTTCATGAACCGACGTCCACCGCCTATAAATAGCCGGCAAACTCATCCTCTTTTCCCCATCCGAGCCTTGAGCTCTTCTTCTTCTCTCTCTCCTGTCAAGTCCGGCCGACGCCGCCATCGGTCGATCTCCTCCTCTATAGTTCCCCTAGCTAAATCCTTGCACCACTGACTCCCCCTCCCTCCGGCGAATCCATTTTTCCCGTTTTCCCCTTCTCCCCCACCCCATAGCAACCACCACAACTACCTCCTTTGCAGCCGAAGAGAAGCTCTTCTACTTGCCGTTCCGGCCAACTCCTCATCTCCCTCTGCCGGAAACCATCCTCCCCAGATGCGCGTCGTCCGGGAACACAAGTTGCCGCCGACGTCGCCGATCCCCGGCCACTGGAGCCCCAGCGCCCCTTCTCTCTCTCTCTCTCTCTCTCTCTGTGTTGTTACACGGGAAGAAGGAGAGGAGGAGGAAGATGACGGGAGGAAGAAGAAGAAAGAAGAGAAAAAGAAAAATAAAGACTGACAGGTGGGCCCCTGCACAGTAACATTTTGTATTTTCCCTATTTAATTCAAATCCTATTCTTTAGAAGCCCATGTCTCTTAAACCGTAGATCTGATTCCAGTGAAACTTAGACCTAAATTTATCTAAACTCAAACCCTATCTTTTGACCCCAAATTTGCTCTTTTAATATTTTATTTGAATTTATTCAAATACTGTTTGAATTTATGTTTGTCTTTTCAAATATTTCTTTTTAACCCAAAATACCCTTTAGCCACTAAAAAGCCGTCGGTTGGGACTTTACGCCTTCCATGGGGATGTTCGCGGTTTACTATCCCCGACGTCGGACCGTTGGTTGTAAAGCCCGGTAAAACCCAAACCCATGGTCGAAGTGCTGCTCCTGGCACCCCACGCCTCGATGCGTACAACTGTCAGAGCTTCACTATTCCCTCGACCTCCACAGCACGTCGCACAATTAGCTCTCGGGCTCTGTGTGATCTTAGCCGCTCCGCCGCCACTCACGGTTGTCGGAGTAACACTTCCGCCCCACTAAACCCACACAAACCTCCTATCCCTCTAACCGTTATGCTGTCTATTGACACCGGCTAGAGAAGATACCAATTCTAGTCGCTATACTGCCCAACTCTAGCAACGACTAGCAAACACCTAAACCCTAGCTAATATTTATCCTACCTCAATCAGCTTGCTATCTAGACTCCATGCCAGCTATAATATCATCACAACCATTTACCCTCCAACTACCTATAACCTATACATGGAATACGAGCCGATATGCTTTCCTATTTCAGCATCGACTCGAGAACAAGTAAATCCTAGCCATTCTTCTACCAAAGCCCAACTTCAGCCAATACTAGCCCAATAATCCCAAGACCCTATAAAAAGATAGGCTATACCCTAAACCCTAGCCCTTCTAACCGTTTCTTGCTTTCTTGCTATTTTATGGCTTTTATTGAATTTGGTTCTTCCTCTTCTTCAGTAGAGTCTATTATATTTGGATGGCAACCTGTGGTATTTCGAGGATCAGATAATCAGGTTGCCTAGCTGATTAAGTTATCTAGCAAAGGTTGTACCTATGTATAGTGGTTCTTCTTAAGTCCTCGCGTAGGAGGCAAATTTATGCCGCGAAGGGCAATTTTTATATTTACCGAGGCGCAGGTAAATATATGAGATGAATTGTGCACAAATTATTTGTAAACCCTGATTGCGATGACATGGTGTCATACAATCAGTTCTCTCTAAAGACCTCGGGAACGCCAGAACTCCTCTCGCTGCTGATAACGTTACGTTCAGAGCGCATGGGGACTAGAGTTCATGGAACAGGTACCACTGATGTTAGTAACCGAAAAGCTTTGTCATGACAAGGCTAATGTGTTTGGCACGTCATGGATTGCGGGTAAAGTGTACATTTACTGCAGTAAAGTATAAATGAATCTATTCGAATAGCCGTGCTCACGGATTTGAGCATTGGGACTCATATGGTATTTGGTTAGAATCTTAATTCCAAACTTTATTAAATACTGTTGCATTTAAAACATTCTAGGCTTTCTTCCTCTATATTCTTTACTTTCTGCAAGTAAACCTAGCTCTACTCAGATATTACCATTTCATGCATTCATTATTGAATATAATAGCTTGCTGAGTACGTTGTACTCACCCTTGCTTCAACCCCCTTTTTCAGAGTCGAATTGATGTTCTTACCGAAGCTGGGAGTTCAATCACATAAGTTAGTTTCATTCTAACTTAATTCGCAAATATAGATTAGACAGATGGTTTAAGTCTATAGCCAAACATTAGAGTTAAGTCATTCTATAGCTTTTGCTGTAATAGTTAGCCACAACCTTGTAAATACCCTATTATTTTACATAAAGAAATCTCCTTTGGAGCCTTGATCAAGTGTATGCGATGAAGATCCAGATTGTTGAACCTGTATCAATATACTGATCCAGGGCTTGATACAGTTAAATATATCGGTTTCCGAATCTTTAGTTCTGGGATCCGACACAACTATAGAATAAATCATCACGTTGACCATTGACATTAGCCAAATTACTAATAAGCAAAACTTTCATGGTGCAATAATTATAAAATCTATATCTTATATGGTGATCCATAAAAACACATACAATTTGGCTTTAAATAAATATCAAAGACTCATGAGCCAAATCATACTTCAAACAAATTATATACCAACCTACCAATTTCACTACTTAGAACTGGCATTTGCAACATGTATGTATAATATTAATTTAATAAGCAAACACATGTGCTAGATAGTAAGCAATGTTCTAATATGGCATAGGCATATAATATGATGATGAACACAATAAACCCATACCTTGCCTTAGCATCCAACAAACGGCGGCTCAAAGATGTGATGTTGTATCCATCGCTGTTCATCTTCTCTTGATTTCTTCACGAGCATATTAATGTCTTGCCCCCCGAGCAAAATCGGCTTTCTTGATTGCACAATTTCGAAGGCAAGATGGATACCGCACTAACACCCATAGCATCATGTGAAGGAGACTTATCTCTAATGACCGATGATTCTCCTCTCATCAAATTGGATTTATCTCTACTATGGGAAATCACCGGTCTCTTAACTTCTACCTCTTTGGGTCTCCACACTTGCCTAGGTGCCGTTCGAGGCTCTAAATTATTGCATGTCTTGTTCTCCACATCTTCGGCCTCCTTTTCTTTTTGACCTATGGCCTGAAGACGCTATAGCCTCCTCTTTTGAGAGCGAGATAAGCCAGAAGGTATCCACTTTGGCTGTGGTTGTTTTCCAGGAGCTAAGCAATGATTCTTCATATTTTTGGTTGAAGTGGAAGCTCCTATATTGCTCTCAATTTTCCCACTCTTCTCCAATGCCCCCCGGTCAGACCGGCCTCTAGGCCCGGTTAGACCAGCCACAAGCTGTCGGTCAGACCGGCCAATAGGGTCGGTCAGACCAGCCGTTGTCTGGCAGTCAGACTGGCCAGCTGTCTCGGTCAGACCGCCGATGTCGACAGCAACGGCGTTGGCTTCAGTCTTCTCCGCTTGTATAGTTTTCGCCGCATCTCCAGTAGGTACATGAACATCTTGAGATTCCTCATTGATAGCAACGACCTCCGGAGCTTTGGCTTCTTTCCTCACCCACACCTTCTTCACCTTTTTCACCTTTGATCCACCGGACCGATTCTTTTGTGGGAAACGGTCTTGTCTTGAGTTGGATGAATGATTTGGCACTGACCTAGGTGATTCCTTCCATCCTTGATGACACGGCATAGGTGGTTGAGGCATCCATGGCATGTAATACATAAAAGGATAACCAAACGGTGACATTGGATGTGGATACCATGGCATCACAACCAGAGGTTTGTATGGAGTTGGTATGGTTGATGGCTCTGATTGCTTTGGTGTTTGACCAAATCTCTCCCTACGAGATGATCTTGGTCTTTTTGAACCACTAGTTTGATTATCAAATCGTTGACAGGCTAATCCTTTCTTGTACTTAGCCATAAGCATCTCAAAAGTAAGCTTCGGCTTTTTGGTCTTTTGGGAACTAGATGACTCATCCTTTGCAACTCTATGATCTTCGGCCTTCACATTTTTTATCCTATTTTTGGGCCGAGGATCCCCAATAATAACACTTTTCCCTTTCTTTTTGGCAACATCAATAGAACTAACAGGGAGAGGATTACTAACAATTCCGGTCTTAGGCATAGATGTAACCGAAATCGTTTCACAAGTGACCGATGAAGTATCAATCGGTCTTTGCTCCATCAAGCTTGCGCCTTTGAAATAATCATGAAACTCACGCTCCATTTGTGACCATGTAGAAATTGAATTGGGAGCAAGCAAACTATACCATGTAGATGCAAAGTTTGACAAAGAAAGAGGAAACAACTTTAACTTAAGCAAATCATTACTACCGACCTTACCACATTGATCAATAAATTGGCCGATATGCTCCATTGTCGTTCTAGCATCCTCACATGTGAATTTCGTGAAATTGGGCACCTCAAATCCTTGCGGGTATGGGACCGAATCTACGTGTTCAGGATACGGCCTTTGATATGTATGCATAACTATTTTAGATTCTATCTCACTACTATCCCGCAAGACATTATCATTATCTTTTCCAACATCAACATGACCGATTTGTGATTCGGTCTTAGGTGACAATGCTATTTCACTTTCGCTTGTGATATAATCCGAACAGTCACTTAGTTCGGCTATATTTTCAATGATGTCATTGTCTAAACTAGAAACATAATCCGAACCATCACTTGGTTCGGCTATTCCATCATTGTCTAAACTAATAACACAATCCAAACCATCGCTTGGTTCGGCCATAATGGTTGTTGCGTCATTATCCAAGCTAGCAAGACAATCTGAACCAATATTTGGTTCGGCTATAATTGTTATGGCATTATTGCACAAATTATTAACACAATCTGAACCATCGCTTGGTTTGGCTATACATGATATTGCACTATCATTTAAACTAGCATTTCAGCTATTGTCATCCACTCGGCTTTCCTGAGCCAGAGCTTCATGCAACACATGATCAACATCAAGAAATATTTGGCCATTCAATCTCTCTTTAATAGAATCAAGCAATCCATCATATGCAATGTTAGCCATATATTTATCAGTTATTTTCAAACTAAAACATCGGCTTTTAATATCTCTAAACCTTTCAATATAATCAGCAACAGATTCATTGCATTTATGCCTAACCGATGTTAAATCAGACAACTTAAGCTCAGTTTCATTAGTGTGAAAATAATCATGAAATTTTTGTTCTAATTGAGCCCAGGAAGAAATAGAATTTGCCGGTAAAGAAGTAAACCATGCAACAACAGTACCGGACAAAGATAAAGAAAACAAGTGCAATTTACATGTATCCCAATTAGCCTCACCACATTGCGCTAAAAATTGATCTACATGCTCCCATGTGGTCCCACTATCCTCACCACTAAACTTGGTAAATTCAGGAATTTTATAACCACGAAGATATGGGATAATATCATAAAAATCAGGATACGGCTTTTGGTACTCCCTAGCACGATTCCATAGCTTTGCGAAATTCTCCCTGATAGTATTTCGAAACCAATCCTCCACAGTTTCAGGCTTTGGTGGATCTGGTGGTGGACTTGGTGGCCTAAAAGGTGGTTGTTGCGGCATAATATTGTTATATTGGCCATACCTAGTATCGGGAGGATATCCCCTATTAATATCATTGTAGGCATTAGGGATATGTGGAATAGCATGACTAACAGTATTAACAGGTGATAAATAATAATTAAAATCAGTACTGCTAGTCGTGGTATGAAAACCTGGAGAAATTCCCAGGGAACCGGTCTGACCGGCCCATGGCCCGGTCTGACCGGTGGTCAGTGGTGCAGTGAGACCGGCCACAGGAGGTCCGATCTGGCCAGAATAGGGCACGGTCTGACCGGCTATGGTAGGCACGGTCTGACCGGCGTAGTACACGGTCTGACCGGCCATAGTGGGCACGGTCTGACCGGCAAAGCATGCGGTTAGACCGGTGTCACGACCGGTCATATTGTCAGCTCGGTTTTGCATATAGCTGATTCCTGTGTAATCGGCCGTATAAACACCCGTTGACCCCCCAATAGCATTATAAGCATATTGTATAGGAGCAAAACTAGAGGTAGCATATGCATCTACACAACGATTATTAGCAAAGGACGGGTTGGACGAATCGGAGGTTACCTTCGGTGAAACAACAACTTGAGGTAGCGCGACGTTTCCTCTCACGACGCCTTGATCGGTCCTAATGTATTGTGTAGTAATCCCGTTGAACTCGTTTCCCGCTCATCATAGTTGATGAAGAAATTCCTTGATTAAATCTGGCCATATTGCTCATAGCTGAAATATTTGACCGAATAAATTAATATACGATCTTGATTTCCGTCGGTACGCTACTGTACTCGGCAAAAATATTTGATCTATAATCAACCGAGTGGACTTAGCACAATTTGGAAACTAATCTAAAGCTTCATAGTGTAACCGATACAAATTGAATCGGTTTTTGTCTTCTTCTTTTTTTTATTTTACCGAACAGTAGTAGATCGGCTTGGATAGCCTGATCTTTTTTTTTTTATTTTCAGAACCCGTATACACGGTAGATCGAATTGGATTGAGTTTCAAATCTTCCTGCCGTGTACAGCAAGGATACTGGCGGTCGCTTGTTGCTGTTTCCACGCGAGAATAAAAATTGATTCCGGCTGTATAGCCGAAACACTCGATTAGATGGGAAATCGATGAATCGATGGCAGCAATTAACTTGATGACCGCACAGTATCGCCGCCAAATAGATTGATCCAATCAAAAATACGTGGCAGCAGTGACGAATTTTGTGTAGATTGATTTCGGCCGTTTGGCCGAAATTCTTGACTCGCCGAAACCAAAAAGTGACTAGATTAAACGAAATTCGGCCGTGATATGGCCAATTAGATCGTTCCCCAGCGGAGTCGCCAAAAATCGTGTTGGCAACTTTCTGTGACAAGTCGACAAGCACTATCGCAATACCTAAACACCTTGCGGTGATATGGAGTCGCCAACCACCTCGATCTAGCCAAAGGGCCAAATCAAGATGGGTTTTGCAAAAAGAAAAGCTAAACCGGCTAGCGGAGCCAATTTAGAGATTAAAATCAGCCTCTAGGCTAATTTAGATCGATATAAGGATAACTACCCGTCTCGTGGGCAAAACGGAAGGTTTTCAGGACAAACCTACAAAGAGGTATCGCACTCTCGCAGCGGCGGCGGACGGTTTACGGCGCAAACCGACAAAGATGGACTAAACTAGGGTAAAATAGAAAACATAGTAAAAGAACGATTCAAGTAGATTGTATTCGGGGGTTTTACAATGAACCGGCCTTGTCCCTTAAATAGGGGTTGGTCTTGCCCTCTACAGGCCCTTCTACATGCCCAACTCGGGATAGAAACCAAAGG